AGTTGACCCGAGGAAGATATATTCTCCCTATATGTCATAAAGAAGAATGGTCAATTCGACCTAGCTATGCATTATCGTTTGGAAAAATGGCTGGACTTTTTTCTCCATAAAAATGATTTAAAATGGGACAAATATTATTAACGAACCAATGCAACCAACACAAACTTTAAACTTGTAATATCTACTCCGTGATAAAATTTAGGATGGATATGGACAACTAGATTGGATAATAAGACACTTGAGTTGAACCACATTAAAAGATTGTATCCAATTGATTACTTAGTTCAACTCATCAAGACTTTATATACCCATAACTTTTCTATTCAATTTCCGATGTGAGATAAACTCTAACACACTCCCTCAAGTGGACAATCGGACCATTTTGAATTTAATCGGTAGATCACTTGCAAATGAACTTCCATTCCCTTGATTATTTTTTTTTGAGCGCCAACACCTAAAGGACCACGAGCCGCTGGGTATTGACTTCTAGACGAGCAATCGTGTTAAACGAGCCACAGGCCGTTGGGTACATATTCCATACGAACAACTGGGCTAAAGACTAACGGGCCGCTAGGAATAAACGTCTAGACGAACACCTTGACAAACGAGTTGGCCAAAACCTGCTTTGATACCATAATAAAATTTAGGATGAGTATGGACAACTGGATTGAGTAATAAGACACTTGGGTTGAACCATATTAAAAGATTAAATTCAATCGATTACTTAGTTCAACTCCAGACCTTGTATACCGATAAATTTTCTATTCAACTTCCGATGTGTGATAAACTCTCACTCCGTGTATAAAAAAACACTCTAATACCATGTTTAAAAATTAACTCACTCAAATATAAAAAATCTCCATAAATAGGAGTAAAATATTGAAAAAAAATATTAAAATAATATAAGAGTTTCATGTTTATTTTCTAAATAAGGTTTTTATTTTCTAAATAGGGGTTCACAGTGTTGTGATGTGTCATGGTACATTGACATTTTACTATATTTTTTTGTTATATACATGGTCATTGTTGAGAATGTAAATGCATTTTAACTTCTATTTCGAGGGAAAAAACATGAAACTCATATTCTGGTATATTTTCAATGTTTTACTCTTACTTTAGTCTTTTTCCACTCAAATATCCAAACTTATGATTAAAAACTAATGAAAAGATTTTGAAACATGCTAAGGGTACACCACGAAGTGTACCTCAAATTGTACTCCAAAAAATGCACTAGCATTTTAGCGATTCACACTAACACAAAATATTAGTTCAATAAAAAAATTACATTGGTATTTTGTCTCATTGTAAAGTATCACACTAGCATCACATTAGTAGCATACAATATTGGTACATACCTGGGGAGTACAAAGTAAGATACAATCTTTGGTGTACAAATATCATTTCCAAAGACTTTATACGGTCTCTAAAGAAAGTAATAGGAGGAGAAAATATTTGTGTATTGAATTGACTTGTGAATACAAAGGTCTAACTCTTTTTATATAGGAAGAGAGTAAAGAATATAAGTAAACTTCTATTCCTACTAAAACAAGAACTAAGCAAACTAGGAAAGATATTAAACCGAATCCCAACAGGATCCGTTTCCTTCTTCGATCTGGCTTCCTTTTTCTGTCGCCAACACCTCACCTCAAGCTGGAGCGTGGGAGTTCAACATGCCCAGCTTGGACATCAAAAGATTGAACAAAGCTTGAGGAAGCCGCTGCCATCGTTGTCCAAGTGTCATCTAGACACTTCAATTTTTTTTCAACGGAGACGCCAAGCTTTTCGAATCCGCCGAAAAATCAGTCGAGTAAAGGAAAGAGTTGTCTGTCTCTGTAGAACAACCCTTGTCGGACAACTTCTTCAAGATTGATGGTTGGGTGTGATTTCTCGACAACAATGTTCTTCGTTGAAGGAGTTCATGATATTCTTTAGTGAGGGAGAACAGTCAAAGAAAATAAAAAAATTACAATATCCCGCCGGTAGGCATTGAATTGTGTATGCTCACCAGCAGGGGAAGAAGAGTGTATGAGGTCTCAAGAATTCAAAACTTGCTCCGATACCATGAAGAAAATAATAGGAGGAGAAGATATTTGTGTATTGAATTGGCTTGTAAATACAAAGGTCTAACTCTTTTTATATAGGAAAAGAGTAAAGCATATAAGTAAACTTATATTCCTACTAAAACAAGAACTAAGCAAAATAGGAAAGATACTAAACCGAATCCCAACAGGATTCGTTTCCTTCTTCGTTCCGGCTTCCTTTTTCTTCATGGTATCCCAACAGGATTCGTTTCCCAACAAGATTGCCTGTCATATATAACAATCATTCCTGGGCCACAACCACAAGCTTGAGCTTTTGGTTGAATTGGTTCCTTGACATGGTATCAGAGCCTTGATGACCAAGAAGGTCACGAGTTCGAAACTCACAGCCACCCAATTTAAAAAAAATAAGGTTTCACGTGCAAGGCTCAAAGAGATTACGCCTGCACGTGAGGGGGCGTGTTAGAGTATATAACAATCATTCCTGGGCCACAACCACAAGTTTGAGCTTTTGGTTGAATTGGTTCCTTGACAGTCTCTAATAGATAATTGGTTCGTCTCATCGAATATTAAAGTTTACACTTTCTGTTTTGAGAAATGCTAGTCACAAATATTTCGGTCACAAAATACACAAACTTACTATTTGTGTAATTAAATTTTTAATTTATAATTATTTAATATCATTTTATTCATTTAATGAGGTGCACAAATAGTAAGAAGTTTCTATCTCTAACTATAATTTTAGTACGTGTTCCTGGGTTACTTATCACTATTGGGAGATTAAATTTTGTATTCCCGCTGCCCTCCCAAGCGTGGTTAACTTTCACTATTCCCCTTAAAATTCCTAGATTGCACACCATTATTTCTAGGTGATCTATATTCATTCCTAGTATTATTTCTAGGTTGGCTTTTAATAACATTCCTAGTTTTAAGAAAATTAATTTTCTCAACTTTATTTTTCCTAACATTTTCTCTCTCCAATTTTAAATTTTCTAATGTGCTTCTAAGTTGTTCTATTTCACTTTTTGAGGAACTACAAGCAGAGCACAGAGAATTTGTCATATTTAAGTTAGCCACTTCAATTGCTTTAAATTTATTTTTAAGGTCGTCATTTTCATTTTTCAAAAATTTATTTTCCTCTTCAAAAACAATGAGTTTAGCTTGAGTGGATTTTGCAAGTTTAGAGGTTTTCTTAAATTTATTAACTAACTAATAAAATGCATCTCGTAATGCTTCAAATCAAAAAGGTGGGTTTGAAATACTTACCTCAATTTTTTCTTCAAGAGCAACAAGACACAAATTTGAAGAATCATCTTTTGAAGAATAAGATTGATCATACTCCCATTAGAAATAAGCGTGTTCATCTTTGTTGCTCTTTTTCTTGAACTTCGGACAATCATACTTCAGGTGGCCAAACTTCCCGCACTTTTGATATTTTGGGTTGTTTTCTTTCTTGCTCTTTTTAAGTTCATGTTTCAAAAACTCGTTAAATATTTCAATCAAAATATGACAAGAGTCACTATCACAATTTGAACTACTTTCACTATTGGAATCATCAACCTCTACTTTTTGAGAAGAAAGGCTTTAAAGGCGATTCCCGCTCTCTTCTTTACCTCGAGAGTATGAGAGAGATGAGTCGTTTTATAAGTGATAAGGTTACCTCGAAGACCGTCATATGTGATGACGTTGTAATCTTGACCTTCATGGATGGAATTTGCCTTGGATTCCCATTCTTTGGTAAGACTTTGCATGATTTTTCTTACCAATTCCTTGTCGGTGAAAGTCTTTCCAAGCATATCAAGGTCATTGACAATATTTGAAAATCTTTCAAACATGCCATCCACAAGTTCATTCTCTTTCACTGTAAGTAACTCATATTCATGAGTTAGTAAATCAATTTTTTCTTCACAACTTGAGGCGTACCTTCATAAGTGATCATGAGTTTATTCCACATTTGATTGGTGGTTTGGCACCAAGATGTCTTTTGATAATCATTAGCATTTACCGCACAATATAAAAAAGTTGCTGGCAATAGCTTTCAATTGAGCCTTCTTGAAGTCGGCTTCATCATATTCATCTTTGTTCTTCGGCATGAATGTATCACCCATCTTCTTCATTGGCAAGCCATCTCTATTCTTGATAGCGAACCATATTTTGTAGTTGTGGGACTGAATAAAAAATCTCATTCGCTCCTTCCAATATGAGTAATTTGTTCCATAAAAAATGGTGGCCTCACGATGGATTGTCCTTCTGGAATCCTTGCGTTCAACATTCTCAAAAAAATTTATCGTTTTGTCAAACATCACAAGGAGTGTTAGAGATACCCACTCTGCTACAAATAGAGTTCTTGAGAATATTTACTGTTTTTCGCAGCTTGTGTGTGTAAATAAAAATAAACGATTGTACAGAACAAATAAAAGAGAGAAGACAAAGAACACACCAATGTATATTAGTTCACCACCTCGTGGCTAGTCCAGTTTATCGAGAGACTCTCTAAAAACTACCACTACTTATCAAGCTTCGCTTAACAAACCGTTTACAACATGAGAACATAAATCTCATAAGCCTCAACACAACCCCTTGTAGATGTGCCCTCTACAGGACTTCACACCCAAGACTTAAGTCACATAAGTCTTGTATAATAAGAAGAGTAACCTTCTTCAACCTCTCAACAAGAACTCTCACAAGAGTAGAAATGAGAAAATGAATAAGCTATATGGATGACAAGAACACTCTCTTGAAAACAAATAATTTTCTCTCAAAATAACTTAACTCGAGGAAGAGATTTATGGAGGATAAAGACAACAATAATAAGGTGTTTTAGAGTGTTTCTCAAGTCTTAAAATGACCAAGGAGAAGGGTTTTTAAATAAGGTAAAGAAAATATGTCCGTTAGTCCAAGACATGATAGGATATATTTCTAGAGCGAATAATGCACAGAAAAGATAAAAGGAGCATGTGCATGGGGATAAAGCATTTTTTCCAAAATCTTCTTATTTCCTACAAGATAACATAATGATTTGATGCTCCAATCACCACAATTATCTCAATATTCAAATTTTGAATATTTAAGGATAATTGGGTGTAAAAATTGAGTCCCAAAAATATTTTATGTGTCAAATGATGTATAAGAAAAATATATAAATAAAATATTTTTTCTTAACAAAAATATTTTCTAATACCAAAATAAGTATTTTGATAAATTGTCTGACACACCTTTTGTAACTAACTCTATAAAAGCATTTTTGAACAATTAAAAAAGATTTTTCAACTAACTCCAAAATAAGTACTATTGTTATATAACTCTCATAAAAATAATTTTGGAGTAAAGAATATTTTTCTCATCCTTACAAAATTTCCTAAAACTCAAATAAATTAAAAGTCTTCTAAAGGTGCTCCGTTCAGCGTATTGGTCTTCATTAAGTCTTGTGATTCTTCTTGAATACTTCAAGGAATTTGGCACTTCAGGTGTTTGTGTTTGTCAATATAGCACTTTAATCTTGATTTGAATAACTTATGTTTGTCAACTATCAAAACTTGTGAGTCAATACTTACCAGTACAACAATGGTTGAACTCATGCATTCCAACAACTAACCCCTTGTTCTAGAGGGGTGCCCATAAAGACACATTTAATATTTCAACTGAGGAACTTATATGTGGGTTTGGGTACAAGATGAACAAAACACAAGCAAACAAAACATGGAGATTACTAAGTGAGGAGGCTTTTTGGTTAACATTTCAAGAGGAGATTTACCTTTGAGTAGGGAAGTGGGGGTACAATTTATTAGATAAACAGAAACTTTGACACACTCACCCCAGAATTCAAGTGGTAACGAATCCGGAAACATGAGGGAGTGAGCAACATTGAAGATATGTTTGTGTTTACGCTCAACTCGTCTATTTTGTTCTAGGGTACGTACAAAAAAAGTTTAAATGTTTACACACATGTTTACAGGCGGTGGAATGTTGAGGAATTCATTACCATTATTAGAACGTACAACTTCGATAGGCTTTGAGAATTGGGTATGAATCATGGCAAAAAATCATTTTAAACAGGAAGTGATTTCACTTTTAGCACGAATAATGAAATTTCCACAAGCACAACGCAGTATTTAAACCCAAAGCAAAACACGCAACACAACCAGAAAGATGTTGGAAACTATATTGTAGCTCAACTATTCGTAACACAGAATGCTACAACACCTTTTCTAACACCAGCACAAACACACACCAAAACAAATAAAGACATAGAGATTTGTTTACGTAGTTCGGAGCTAACTCTCATACGTCTGCGAGGCCCACATCCGTATAATAGCCTTTCCACTAGATCAACATAAAAATTACACAATCAATCTCAACAGATCCTTCTACTGGATTGACTTGTCTACTTACGTGATCTGACACAAAACTTGGTTTGTGTCCCTTCAGGCCTATTACACCTTCTTGCTCTGCACGAAAGATTGCGTCTCCGAACTTTACTCAGCTAACCAGAATTCAACGGCTGAACAATCTTTAGAGAAGATCCATGATTGATCTTCTCAGGCATGTCTCTCACAGATGTGTGTTTATGTGTGTTTTGATAAACTCTTTTGTGATCTCTCTCGCTCTCGTATGATATATGAATGTTAATCTGCACCGCCACCGCTTTCATCCATGGGTATCTCTATATATATCACGCACATAACCCTAGTGGAGGTAAGCTGTAACTTTGTGGTGATAGGCTTGAATACCAGAGAGTTTTAGTGCACCACAACATCTTCGGTAGAATGCATCCGATATTCACCACGTGACCGGAGAGTACCCAATTAATATAAGTCTTCTCTACAGAAGTCCTCTTGATACTGAACTCTGCATGAAACCCAAATGATAGAAGTCCCAATGGCTGAGAGTCCTTGTCGTATAAGAACCCTAAAACATAAAATTCTTGACAAGGATGACTGACAGGATGCTACAGCGCAGACACAATACGAACATTAAACAACACTACAGAAAAGGTTTTGTCAAAAAATTATGCCAACATAAATTACACCAACGTGAACTATTTGGAACTAACAAATAAGATAAACCCACAAAATACGAGAATAATCGTCCAGAAATTTAAGAACATAATGAGAACCTGTAGCAATACGAGGTGAATAGGGACTACATAAATGTAACGCCCCAAAACATAGCCTAAAATTATTATTCAATTAATCAAACTTGTTTTGATTAAAATAAATTATTGTTGGGCTTTGGGCAAAATTGAAATGTGTTTTGATAACTAATATCACAATCTGGATAAATCTCATAGAGATAAATCCAAAATGTTGACTTATTGTGTAATCTTGATTGGGAACCAGAGTACAGACTCAAATTAAGAATAAATAAAGAATTTGTTTATGATGTGAGCTTTGAAATTATTTATTGAAATAGATCATGAGAGTAAATAATATGAATTAAATGTGAGAACATTTTTAAATAGAGGTCAATTAAATCAATTTTGACTCTAACAAAGTCAAATACCCAAAAATATGTTGTCGGAAAAAGTATTACAAATAAATATAAAAATTATATCACTTGATAAAGTTTGACTGTCTCATCGCAACGGAGCAAATAAATTTCAATTCAGAGAAAGTTGGACCAAAAAGTGTACCCCGGATGGAACCAAAATTTTCCCAATCAGGAAGTAGCGTACTGAATTACCTAAAATCGCACTTTTGCCGAATGAAGATCGTGAATTGGAATCCTACGCAGCAGCAACTCAGCGCATGTCTTCTTCTACTTCACGTTCACTATAAAAGGGAGACTAATTCTTCACCATTCTTCACCATTTTTCCTCCATTAGAGAGCTGCTAATATAGAGAGCAAAGTAGTGTTGTCCATAAAGCTTCCCATCGCCGGAGCAAGCCGTCGTGTTCGCCGGAAGTTTTGTCGTTCAATCACCGAAATCATTGTTAAGCTCCGAGTTAAGCCCTTAGATATATCTAGTAACTAGATTGTTCGTATAGATTGTTTCTACATTCCTAAAGAGTCGTTTGGTTGAGTTTTGTGTTTGACATGTTTGAAGAACCAAGAATCATAAACCTTTAAGCTATTGTTAAAATTACGAAATAATGATGCCAAAATGATCTATGAACCTTGGAGAACATTTCTTTATAGCTTAATTGAAGTTTGGTGACTAAAAATGGTATTTTCCAAATGGACCCGAGGAAGAAGACGAAGAACAGTAACGGAATTCCTTCGGGTGACCGATCACCTAGGGTGGATCGATCACCCGAGCTGACTGATACATTTTAAAGTCCGAAAATGCTATTTTTGAAGCTATAAAATCCTATTTTTTGTATCAATCAATTATGATCAATGTAAATATGATTTATGAAAATAAATGTGATGTTTTGACAAATTCAAAAACCTTATTTGATGCATGACAGTAAGCTAGAGTGTTAAAATTCGACGTTAGGCCGCTGTTTGTTATTGGATATGATGATGGCTATTATTGATTGATGATTATGATGAATATTATTGATTAATGATTATGATGATTAAGCTTTGATGAAAATTCTGAATAAAATGATGATTACGAATTGTTGAACTATGATTCAAAATAAATTGATTGATAAGAAATGAATTGTATTGTTAAGGCTATCTAGAAGATCTCTAAGATAGACCTCAGATTAAAATAGGTCTTGTGGGTATAAATATGAATATTTGGTGGCCTGGAAAAAAAGTACGTACGGGATCCGCAAACCAAACTTGAGGATTATTCGTTTGGGGATACCGCCCAACCCAACGGTAAGCATTTCGTTGTTCGGTTTGTGCTTGTACTTTAAGCGAAGGCTAGTTTAAGAGTTGGAAAACCTTTTTGAAAATTGTACCTTAAACTAGACTAGCTTAAGAGTTGGTTAGGAGTACCTTAAACTAGAATATAGTTAAAGAGTTGGTTAGAAGTACCTTAAACTAGAATTAGTTTAAGAGTTGGTAAACATTAAAGTGATTGGCCTTAGACTAAAAATAGTTTAAGAATATTTTTTGTAACACCCTCCGTCCCGCGAACCCGGTTCACCGCGGTCCAACGAGCCGGAGAGGTCACGTAGACGGGTTTTAGGACCGTCCACAAAGAAAACTCCTGGCGCTGCTTGTAACGGAAAACCCTTGCTATATTTTATTAAATGATGGAAGTGAATTCACTTAAAGAAATGTTTATAGCAAAAGTAATGTAGATGAAACCATTAAGTCATAAATAACGTAAGTGCGACAAAGGTGGGTTCATGCCCAAAACGTTTCTCATAATTAAGTAAATAATTCATCCGGCCCGCACTGTCGTTCACTCGCTGCCTCGATCACCCAATCGTCCGGGTCAGGCTCCATGGTTCTCTTGCCTACCTGCGTCTAGCAAAGGGAAAACAACGCTATACGCTCAAAATAAGCTGAGTTGTAACCTAACAATAGAAGTAGGTTACGAGTAAACAGTGATGCAATGCCAAATAATCCATGATGCATGAGTTAGACTGCGCAAGGACACCCCTGCCCTTCGGTGATCATCCCCACGTGGTAGATGAGTCGAGGAACGCCTTAGTCATCCTGATGGAGACTAAAAATGTGGGTAATAGATAAGCCTAGCTACCATGTACGTACACAAGCCCTCGTGATGAAAACCCGTTGGATCCTGCAGGTTCCCAGACAGGCCCACGGAAGAGGCGCACTAGGCCTGACCCCTTGCCGTGGTATGCAATGTATGCCATGATCCTAAACATGCATCTAGGATGTACATGATGGTATGAATGCATTGATTGGAAAAAAAATGAGGTTATATCCAACACATACGAATATATTTGATTCCATATGAAAACAACTTGTCCGACATGGTGGACCTGGGTTCAGAACTTGCTGATAATCGATTAACCACGGCTGATAATCGATTATCATGTTGTGCAGTTTCTTTTCCCAAGTTCCGCAGGCCATGATAGTCGATTGTCTTCTCATGACAATCGATTCTCAAGTATCTTGTTCAGGACACCCAAGTTGTGAGGGGTCTGATAATCGATTATCGCTTTGGGATAATCGATTATCAGTAAAACCAGCCCAGACTTGAGATTCCGCAGGGCCTGATAGTTGATTATCACATATGTGATAATCGATTATCATGCTCTGCCGATTCCAACGCGAAGTTCTGCGCAACGTGATAATAGATTGACCAGCTTTGTAAATCGATTATCATGGCTTGCATGATGAACAAACGGCGCTAACGAACGGACAACGAACGAGCACACTCGCAAGCCTTCTTCTCTTCCTCCTTCTGCTTCTCCTTTTCGCCGGAAATCCTCGTGGAGCTGATGTGGTCTAGCCGAAATTCACAAAGGGAAGAGGAAGAGAGAGTGAGAGTAATGGTTGGGAGTTACAAATGGGTGAGGGAAAATGAAAAGGAGAGTGGGGTTTTAAGGGAAATGAATGGGGAATAAATGTGAGTGATGATGGTGAGTTAACGGAGATGGGGTGGCGTATGGGTGTAATTGGGGAGTTATCTCCCATTAATTCATTCTGTTATGTAAAATCTGACCCGAACAGTATGCGTTTTTCCCCCGAACAGGTCCGAATTGAGATCTAGTTGCGTTCTAGAATCAGGCAGTCAAAACGAATATTATGACATGATCAAATAATTTTTCTAAGGATTTTATTTTCCCGCCTCCGGTCCGAGTTAGTAATTAATTAATTAAATTAATCAATTCTAATAGACCGGGTCGCAGGGCGTTACAATTATCCACCCCTTAAGAAAATTTCGTCCTCGAAATTTACCTGATCATTGGTTACTGAAAAGATGGGGATAATGGCTGCGCATGGATTCCTCGGTTTCCCATGTCGCCTCCTCGACGGTGTTACTTCTCCACAGAACCTTGACCAACGGAATGGTTTTGTTCCTCAACTGACGGATCTCACGAGCTAGAATCTCAACCGGCTCCTCCTCGTATGTAAGATTCTCATCGAGAGTGACCGTATCAGCTGGAATCACGTGTGAAGGGTCTGACCGGTACCTTTGGAGCATAGACACATGGAATACATTGTGAATCTTGCTCAACTCAGATGGTAATTCGAGCCTGTAGGCTACAAGTCCCACCCGTTCAGTGATTGGGTATGGGCCTATAAACCTCGGACTAAGTTTTCCCTTCTTGCCGAAACGCAAAACATTCTTCCAAGGAGATACCTTCAAGAAGACCTTACCTCCACCGCATACTCGATGTCTCGCCTCCTAAGGTCGGCGTAGGACTTCTGTCGGTCCGAAGCAACCTTATGTCGGTCCTTAATCACCTAGACCTTCTCCTCGGTCTCACGAACTAGCTCTGGTCCTTCCAACTTCCTCTCGCTGAGCTCCGTCTAGTAGGTAGGAGTCCGGCACGGCCTACCATACAAAGCCTCGTACGGAGCCATACCGATGCTAGCCTAGTAGCAGTTGTTGTACGCGAACTCCATCAACGGTAGATATTGCTCCCAACCATCCCCGAAGTCGATCGCGCAGGCACGCATCATATCCTCGAGGATCTGGATAACCCTCTCGGACTGACCGTCCATCTGTGGGTGGAAAGCCGTACTAAAATGAAGATTAGAGCCCAAGGCTTTCTGTAGGCTCTTCTAGAACTGCGACGTGAAATGCGGGTCACGGTTTGAAATGATATATGAGGGAACACCATGTAACCGGATGATCTCGCGAATGTATAGCTCCGCCAGACGCTGTAAAGAGAAATCTTGTCGTATCGGAAGGAAATGGGTGGACTTAGTCAAACGGTCCACAATGACCCAAACCGAATCGTTCTTGCGAGGCGACAAAGGTAGCCCCACTACGAAATCCATGGTGATACGATCCCACTTCCACTCGGGAATCGTAATCTGCTGAAGTAGTCCGCTCGGTACTTGGTGCTCAGCTTTAACCCGCTGGCATGTCAAGCATCGCGCCGTAAACTCGGTGATCTCTCTCTTTATCGCAGGCCACCAGTAATGCATCCGGAGGTCCTGGAACATCTTGTTGCTACCGGGATGCATGGTATATACTGTGCCATGTGCCTCACGAAGGTGTCGTTCCCTCACTTCCCCCGCTGGCACCACCACACGATCCCGATAAAGCAAGACTCCATCCTCTCGTACGGAGAAATCGGGTTTCTCGCCCCGAGAGGCAAGCTCGCAAGTTTGCTTGCAGAAGTCATCGCTGCTTTGTGCTGTCTCGATCTCATGGAGCAATGCAGGCTGAACTCGGAGTACGGCTAGAGTTTTGCGACTAAGGGCGTCGGCCACCACATTTGCCTTACCAAGGTGGTAAGCGATATGACAGTCGTAGTCCTTAATCAACTCTAACCATCTCCGCTGTCGTAGATTCAAATCCTTCTGACTCAAAAGATAATGCAGACTTTTATGATCGGTGAAGATACGCGTCGTCTCGCCGTACAAATAATGCCTCCAAATATTCAAAGCGAGAACGATCGCCGCCAACTCTAGATCGTGTGTGGGGTAGGTTCACTCATGCGGCTTCAGCTGCCGAGACGCATAAGCTACAACCTTACCCTCCTGCATAAGGACACACCCTAGGCCATTGTGTGAAGCGGCGCTGTAAACCATATACTCCACTCCTGGGGTCGGCTGTACCAATACGGGTTCCTAGGTCAAACACTCCTTTAGCTTCTCGAAACTCTGTTCACAAGCCTCAGTCCAGTCAAACTTCACGTCTTTCTTTATTAACTTATGCAACGGTGAAGCTATCCTCGAGAAGTCTTTCACGAATCGGTGATAATACCCTGCCAATCCGAGAAAATTCCTCACCTCACGCGCGTTGCGGGGAGTCTTCCACTCCGTGATCGCCGAGATCTTGCACGGGTCCACCTTCACTCCCTTAGCCGAGATGACATGGCCGAGAAAGGTGACCTCGTGCAACCAGAACTCACACTTGGACAGCTTGGCATAGAGTTTCTACTCTCGTAGGATGCTGAGTACCGTGCGTAGGTGCTCCGCATGCTCCTCACGCGTCTTGGAGTACACCAGGATATCATCGATGAAAACGACCACGAACTGGTCAAAGTACTTACGGAACACACTGTTCATCAGATCCATGAAGACAGCCGGTGCATTGGTCAAACCAAAAGGCATCACCGTGAACTCATAGTGCCCAAAACGGGTGCGGAATGCTGTCTTAAGAATACCCTTCTTCTTGACTGGAATCTGATGGTACCCTGATCGCAGATCAATCTTAGAGAAAATTGTGACTCCCCTCAACTGGTTGAACAAGTCATCGATGCGAGGAAAAGGATAACGGTTCTTGATGGTGACTTTGTTCAGCTGACGGTAATCGATGCACAGCCTCATCGTACCGTCCTTCTTGCGAACGAACAGGACTGGTGCGCCCCAAGGGGACACACTAGGACGTATGAAACCCTTATCCAAGAGCTCCTGCAGTTGAGCTTTCAGCTCCTTCATCTTTGCCGGGGCCATGCGATAAGGTGTGATGGAGATGGGTCCCGTTCCCGGAACCAAGTCGATAGAGAATTCTACCTCCCCCGGGGTGGTAGTCCTGGCAGCTCGTCTGGAAATACGTCTAGGAACTCGCACACCATAGGTATTTCCTCCCGTACAGGTGTCTCTAGCTGTGTGTCGCGGACAGTGCATAAAAAGGTCTCGCATTTCTTGCGTATGAGACGACGAGCTTGCATATACGAGATGAATTCGGAAGCCTTCGGGAAAAGCTCACCTCGAATCAGCATGTCACTACCGTCTTCGGCTTTCAGCCGTACCGTATGTGTGCCACAATCGACAATGGCTTGATTGGCTGTGAGCCAATCCATGCCCAGGATAACATCGAATTCTCGATGTGGGGGCTTGATCAGATTTGCAGGGAAGCTCTTCCTTTGCATAACTAGGGGACAGTCAGGATAGATATATTTGAGACAGAGACTATGTCCCAACGAATTGGACACAATCACCGGATTCTCCAGGTTCTCTCTCGAAATGTTAGACGATACAGGCATAGATGTACACAGATATGACAATGTGGAACATGGGTCAATCAAAGCAGATATGGATGTATCGAATAAGGTGAACATACCCATAATCACATCATGGGCGGGCTGCTCAGTGCGTCCATGCATCGCATAAGTACGGGCTAGAGCCTTCCCGGACTGAGCGCTCTGTGTCGGCCTCTTCGGTTGGCTAGATAGCGCTACCGACGTCTGACTCGGTACGGGCTGGGCTGTTGGAGCTGAAGCTGCGGCTGCGGGCGCTGTCGGGAACGCCTCACCAGGGTTCGTTGGGTAGTTCCTATGGTAATGCCCAGCCTGTCTTTACCCGAGACATAGGCCCTGAGTGAACCAGAACTCGCCGGAATGCCTCCGGCCATAGAGGTTGCAGGTCGGGTTCTGATATCCGCTCTGACTCTAGCTCCTCCCACTCTTCTGAGTGGGTGCTGACAACACGTCTGGTGAAGACCTAACCTTCTTGCTCATGTGCGAGATGCTCGGTACAGGAGGAGGCCTCTTGCCGCTCGAGCTGGGTCTGGGTGGCGATGGCGGACGAGGATGCATCGTCTGGGCTTGCTCATATTCGGCCGTCCTGTGTATGGCCGTCTGTAGCTCCAACGCCTGCTTGTACAGGTCGTTGATGTCGTTCCTAGGAAAAGTCAGGACGTAACCCCTCCCTAAAGCGCTTGCACCGCTTCTCCATCGTCAGCACCAAATCCCGGCCAAACTCGGCCAGCTCATCAAACTTCTGGCGGTACTCTGGTAGCGTTAGTTCACCCTGGGTGAACTTCATAAATTCATCGCGCTTCTCCTCCATGAAGTGCTCGGGCACGTACTCCTCCCGGAGAAGCTCATCAAAGGTTTCCCACGGCACCGGCTCCGGAACGTTCGCTCTTGCGCGCTTCCACCAGTCGTAGGCGGCATCCTGAAGTAAGGCGATGGCTAAGTCGCCTCTCTGCTTTATTGGAACCTGTAGGGTTCCGAGAACTCGACCTGTGCGCTCGAGCCAGCGCTTAGCAACTATGGGATCGGCGATCTACTCGCCACGGAACTCCTCAGCCCCGTTCTTCTTCAACTTCTCGATAGTAACCACAACCACCGGTGGCGGCGGTGGTACGTACGCCCCAGCCATCTGCTGGAGGAACTGGAGCATGTTGGCCGCCAGCTGCAGCTGCAGGAAAGGAATAGCCTGCGGCACAGCATCCGGTTGCGGAACCTGCGGCTCTGGGACCTCCTGCTGCGGGGTGAAGCTAGACGCCTCCGTATGCACGCTCACGTGCTCCTGCTCCCCATGTGGACCAGCTTGTCCGCGTTCGGGAGCCTGACTCATCTCCTTTCTGAAAGGAGATTTCCTAAACGGGTTAAATAATAATAATAATAATAATAATAATAATAATAATAATAATAATAATAATAATAATAATAATAATAATAATAATAATACCTTAATGATAATGGTTACCTTTCCCGGTGGAGATACGGAGCGGGATGCGACAGTGGGTCCAGGAGAAAATGTTTTCAAAATGTGTTTCAAAAATCATTTTTAGAACCGTATTTCTCTGATGCCAAAATGTAAGACCCTCCATCCCGCGAACCTGGTTCACCGCAGTCCAACGAGCTGGAGAGGTCACGTAGACGGTTTTTAGGACCGTCCACAAAGAAAACTCATGGCGCTGCTTGTAACGGAAAACCCTTGTTATATTTTATTAAATGATGGAAGTGAATTCACTTAAAGAAATGTTTATAGTGGAAGTAATGTAGATGAAACCATTAAGTCATAAATAACGTAAGTGCGATACAGGTGGGTTCATGCCCAAAACGTTTCTTCCGCGGCCCGCACTGTCGTTCATCCGCTGCCCCGATCACCCAATCTTCCGGGTCAGGCTCCATGGTTCTCTTGCCTACCTGCGTATAGCAAAGGGAAAACAACGCTATACGCTCAACATAAGCTGAGTGGTAATCTAACAGTAGAACGCATAGTACATTCACATTGATATAAACATGATTAAACCTGTACTAAAGTACAAGATACCACATACAAGTTTGATGAATAGTAGGTTACGAGTAAACAGTGATGCAATGCCAAATAATCCATGATGCATGAGTTAGACTGCGCAGGGACACCCCTACCCTTCGGTGATCATCCCCACGTGGTAGATGAGCCGAGGAACGCCTTAGTCATCCCGATGGAGACTAGAAATGTGGGTAATAGCTAAGCCTAACTACCATGTACGTACACAAGCCCTCGTGATGAAAGCCCGTTGGATCCCGCAAGTTCCCGGACGGGCCCATAGAAGAGGCGCACTGGGCTGACCCCTTGCCGTGGTATGCAACGTATGCCATGATCTTAAACATGCGTCTAGGATATACATGATGGTATGAATGCATTGATTGGAAAAAATATGAGGTTATATCCAACACATACAAATATATTTGATTCCATATGAAAACAACTTGTCCGACATGGTGGACCTGGGTTCAGAACTTATTGATAATCGATTAAGCACGGCTGATAATCGATTATCATGCTGTGCAGTTTTTGTTCCCAAGTTCCGTAGGCCATGATAGTCGATTGTCTTCTCATGACAATCGATTGTCAAGTATCTTGTTTAGGACACCCAAGTTCAGAGGGGCCTGATAATTGATTATCGCTTTGGGATAATCGATTATCAGTAAAACCAGCCTAGATTTGAGATTCCGCAGGGCCTGATAGTCGATTATCACATACTCCCTCCGTCCACCTATGTTCTTCCCGTTACGCGTTACGAGGCTTGACCGACTGTATTTTCAATTCAGTTTAATTGATAATAGGAGTAAAATTTTAAAATAAAATTTATATAGTAATAAACTACATGAAAAGTTCTACAAACTAGAAGTGACAAGACTATATTATTTTACGAAATGACTAGTAAAAATAAGCAAACAAAGTGAGTAAAGTTTGACCCTGTGAATAGTGTCTGGGAAGATCTATGGTGGACAGAGGGAGTATGTGATAATCAATTATCATGTTGTGCAGTTTCTGTTCCCAAGTTCCGCAGGCCGTGATAGTCGATTGTCTTCTCATGACAATCGATTCTCAAGTATCTTGTTCAGGACACCCAAGTTGTGAGGGGTCTGATAATCGATTATCGCTTTGGGATAATCGATTATCAGTAAAACCAGCCCAGACTTGAGATTCCGCAGGGCCTGATAGTTGATTATCACATATGTGATAATTGATTATCACACTCTGCCGATTCCAACGCGAAGTTCTGCGCAGCCTGATAATCGATTAACACAGGGTATTACATTACTCTCACTTAAGAATGCAATGTCCTCAATGCATCCTTTTTTTGAACCCCTAGATCGTCTCTTCTAGGTGAACTAAGCTCTCTTGGCCCGTCGCGGTCGCAGGGTTGCTCTGATACCATTTGTTACACCACAGCCCCACCCTGGCCAAAAGTATATGCCCATAGGATTGTAAATTGGCTCCACAAACCAACACAAGTCGTTCCCACACATTTTATCCTCACTCGTGCCTGCCTAAGAAACTTCATATGAGTCACCCATCCTAGAATTGATCCAAGTCAAGCACGCTTAACTTTGGAGTTTCTAAGTGATGAGCTCTCGAAAAGAACATGCACCTTTTGGTATGAGTAGTACTATCAATTTTTTTGAACTCTTTTCATTTCCATCTTAACACGGGGTAGGTATTACAACAATTGTACTGCCTCTTAAGATCCCCCCACAATTCAAAGGAAATTGTATGGGAAACAATACTTGGTTGGATGGATTCATCCACACTCATAAAGATCCAACTACATATAATTTGATGATTAGCATACCACGCAGACATCTCATATTCGTCTGTAGGTTTGTAGGCACCGATGGAAGTTAAAAACCATGATTTGCCGTGTTCACCCAACACGTTTCAAATTGCATTTTCTCAAATATCATAATTGTCACTTTTGAGAAGGTATTTAGTGAGAGAATCAACATGCCCTTTTGATGGGTGAAGATAATAGATTGTTGAAGGTTTGTCGATCAACCTGGTCTTCTTGAGGTTTCGGCAATCATGGTGGTGACTGATGATGCCTGACCGAGAGCGGACAGGGAGCACGGCTAGATGGCGGTGGCTGGTCACGGACGGTGACACAGAACGAAAGAAATCGACGAGGGTGGATAAGGTTTTAACGACAATCCCATGACACTCCGTTATGTAAAATCTGACCTGAACGGTATGCGTTTTTCCCCCGAACGGGTCCGAATTAAGATTCAGTTGCGTTTCTGGAATCAGGCAGTCAAAACGAATATTATGACATGATAAAATAATTTTTATAAGGATTTTATTTTCCCGCCTCCGGTCCGAGTTAGTAATTAATTAATTTAATTAATCAATTCTAATAGACCGGGTCGCAGGGCGTTACATTTTTAATGAATTTGAATATGCATGTGAGTGTTGAATATTGATTATTGAATGTCTGAACTGAACATTATATGCATGATTTATAATTATTTTATTATGAATTGAGATTCAATTTATATGGATGTTCGACGCATTAGATATTTTTACTCAGCTTCAACGCTGAGCGTGTAGTATGTTTTATTTTCTACACGTAGGTAAATAGAAAGAATGATGTGACAGGATCCTGGAGGCAGATGGAGGCAAGATTGTCGGGAAGGATGTGATGGCTTTGAATTAAAGAACATAAAATAATTATGTTTTGTGATTGTGATGTGTTATAGCTTCCGCAACATTGAAAACTCTGTACTTTTACTATTATGAATATTATTCTCGTGATAAATAAGAGTGTTTGGAAATGTTTTAAATTTTTACGATTATCAAGTTAATACTTTAGTCCTAAAGGGGATGTAGACCTGAACGGATTAGGGTGTTACAATAAATCACAACGAATAAAGTCAAAAATAACATCTATTTTATTGGAAATATTAAAAAAAGACAAACGAGATTGCTTAAAAAGAAAACACTTTCACAAGTTTGCAACTTTTTCACATGTGAGTTTCTTTTATTAAAACCAAGAAACGGAAACACTGATGAAGAAGGATGGCCCTGACGTTGATGTAGCGTGATGATATCGAGAATAGATGCCAGAGCTGATGTAGGAAAACGAAAAACATACACTCCATTCCTTAGCTCACCCCATCCAATCTCTATCTTCGACGTATGGTCATGAATTACACAACAGTAATCATTAAAAATTGCATGACAAGAGGTATCACGAATCAAGCATCCAACAGAAATCAAGTGACAATGAAGATTAGGGACAAATAGCACACTTGTGAGAATTAAATCTTAAGACAACCATACACGCCCCTTTTCGTTAGCCTTAACCCATGACCCATATGAGAGGCTAATAACACAGGGGGAAACATGTTTAAGATCGAACACGTGCGACAAAGTACCTATCATGTGGTGAGATGCGCGACTACCAATAAGCAAGTCCCAAGAGGTGGAGTTCATACCAAACTAAGAGTGGGATGTTGAACACTCAATTATGGACATAAAGAGTGCCATCTACGCATTCAGCCTCCAGACAAACTATTAAATATATTTACCATATATATTTATGTTAAGTATATTTAATGTATTTATTATTGCATCATTGTATTATTAGTAGTTACCTTTTGTATAGGTTTCCTACTCGTATTAGGAGTCTCGTCCTGTCTATATATACGGTTGTACTCCTACACATTTAATCATTGAAAATATTCATTATTCATGGTATCGGAGCCTATTCCAAAAACCCTAATTCTCCCTTCCTGCTCTCGGCTCTTCTCCCTCGGCGCTGCTCTTTCTCTCTCGGCCTTACTGCCGTAGCAGCCCCACCGTCCTCCTCCGTCGTCCCTCTCTCTCTCTCTCTCTCCCTTCATGGACTCCGAAAAGATGACGGACAAATCTTCCTCCTCCTCCACCACCTCCTCAAATTCTCCCCACTTGGCGTTCACGGCTATATCTAACGTCAAGCTTCACGTCCCCATACAGTTGAGTTTTTCTCAACCTAATTACAAAAAATGGTGCCGCCTTTTCTTGCTCCTTGTTCGACGATTTAATCTCCACGGGTTTCTCTCCGGCTCTAAGATCCCCTCTTCCGCCGACGACGACGAATGGTTTCAACTTGATGCCTTGCTTCAAGGTTGGATTCTCTCCATGGTGACCGATGAGGTCTCCGACTTGGTCATCTCCTCCACTTCAACAGCCTCCGAACTTTGGCGGGTGATTCATGATCTCATCCACGACAACAAACCGGCTCGAGCTATGCAATTGGAACACCAATTCCGCACTACGGTCAAAGGAACTATGCCCATGGCCACATATTGTCAAACTCTCCGGAACATCGCCGATTGGCTAGATGACGTCGACGCCCCAGTCTCCGAATCACAGCTGGTGCTCCAACTCTTACGGGGTTTACCGGACGATCTCCAAGCCCAAACATCTTGGATGCAATTCCAACAGCCCCAACCCAATTTTCTCTAAGTCCGGTCGGCGTTATTGCTTCTTGAACGTCAACGCTCCCACTCCATTGAGACTGGGACAGCCCTCGTCACCGGCGGCCAGCTGGGTCCGAACCAGCAGCAACCGCATGGCTGAACCAGCGGCGCGGCAGAACCGTCAGGCAACCGTGGCTACCCTGGCCGTGGTGGTGGCGGTCGCGGTGGTCACGAGCGAGGACGTGGGAGAGGCCGAAGCTCTGGCGGGCAGCGACACTCGGACGGCTACGGATCTTGGAACTCACCGAATCAAAACCCTAACCCTACCCCGGGTCTTCTCGGCCCACGCCCCACCCCCTACACCTACCCTAATGCCTTTGCCCATTATTCCTACTCCAACCCACCCCAACCCCACCCCACCCT